AGAGACCAATCTACTTCGAGTTTAACTAAAGGGAGCCAATGCACATTGGCATGCGATTATTGCATCCAGCTGTCGCTGATCACAGCGTGAGTATAAGTAGGCAGCAGATGCAGTGCATATTCAGGTTTTCGCTGAGGAGCCGAGCCAGTGACCTGGCCGCTCAGCGTGGTACAGGAGCTGTGGTGACGGGACGTGACGTCTCCGTTTCCTCCTTCAGGGAACGAGGGTTACCATATGTAACCGAGACGTTCCCTTTCAGTCGGTCACTCCCGATGTCACGTCGGATGTCCGACGAATTGGGATCCCTAACAAAGAGCCACAGGTACTGCCCCTTCCAGTGTCCCGTGGAAGCCACCTGCGCCCCTACTTTTTGGCATAGGCCAGGGCTTACCACAAGAGTACCAGCTACGGCTGCTGTGGCACTACCCAATCAGTAAGACGGGATAACACTGGGAAAACGTACCCATTCGACTTGGGACAGGGACATTGCGGAGTTCCAACCTTCCCGAAGGAGGTTTCGGAAGCAAATACACATATGAACATTCCTTAGGTGCATATGGAAGACTGGAGGTGATTATAACCCTCTTGGAATGGCAGAAGTCTCGCCACATCTGGCTGCCAAGGGGATGGATGAGCTCAACAGGGTCTACTATATGGACTCTCTGGAGCGGTTTTAGCAAGCTGACCCGAAGCCGGGGCCACTCAGTGCTTCTACCCATTTGAGGTGAGAACACAGCAGGATACCGGCTCCGCACGAAGGCTAAAGAATCTAGCGAACGTGTTAGGGGTCGCCCAGCCCACAGCTCTACCCCCTGTGCCTGATAAGCCAGGGTGATGGCATCCACTATCCAGTGGGCCATCCTCTTCTTAGAGACGGCATTCTCCTTCTGCCAGCCTCCGTGACAGACAAAGAGCTGGTCTGAGGTCCTGAAGCTTTGTATCCGGTCTACGTAGCACCTTAAGACTCGGACGGAACAGAGCAAACCTAGGCTGGGTCTGCTTCCTCCGGGGGCAGCGCTTGCAGGCTCACCACCTGATCCCTGAAGGGAGTGGTGGGAACCTTGGGCACATAGCCAGGCCGGGGCCTCAGAGTTACCTGGGAGTCGGCCGGCCCGAACTCTAAGCACGAATCGTCGCCCGAAAATGCGTGCAGGTCCCCTACTCTCTTGATGGAGACCGTGCAAGCAGGAGCAGAGTTTTCATTGACAGAAACTTTAGCTCGACTGTCTGCAAAGGCTCAAATGGGTCCTGCTGTAGTGCTGTGAGCACTAGAGTCAGGTCCCAAGAGGGTATAGAGGGGGGCCGTGGAGGATTTAGCCTTCTCGCCCCCCTAAGGAACCTGATGATCAGGTCATGCTTCCCCAGCGACTTCCCTTCTATGGGGTCATGGTTAGCAGCGATTGCAGCGACATAGACTTTGAGGGTGGAGGGAGACAGCCTTCGCTCCAACTCTTGCTGCAAAAAGGACAGCACGACTCTGATCGGGCATCTTCGGGGGTCTTCTTGGTGAGAAGAACACCACTCAACGAACAGGTTCCACTTCAAAGTGTAAGTCTCGTAGACGGTGCTCTCGCTGAAGTGATGATGTCAACTACCTCTTGGGGTAGTGTCTGTGCAAGAAGGCTCACTGGGAGAAACGCATATTTGCGAAGGCCACGCGGCCAGCTGTGTGCCAGTGCGTCCGTGCCGAGTGTTCTCTCGGTCAGGGAGTAGAACAGCTGGCAGTGAGAGGTTTCTGGAGAGGTAAACAGGTCTACCTGAGCGGCTCCAAAACATCTTCAAATCAGCTGAACCGTCTGGGGATGGAGTCGCCATTCTCTCGGGAACGCAGCTCGAGACAGCTCGTCGGCTGCCCGGTTGAGTAACCCAGGAATGTGAACAGAATGTGACCTCAGATGCTTCTGACTCCAAAGGGGGAGGTGGCGGGAGAGTTGTGACATGCGACGGGCCAGCCGGTGGTTGAGGCATCCGTGTGAACCACAGCATGCCTGGAAACCTGGTCTAGGAGCACTCCTGCCCGCTGATCCTGAGACAGAGCTAATATGAGCCAGTCATCGAGGTAGTTGAAAATGCGAATGCCTTGTTCTCACAGGGGAACAAGGGGTGCCTCAACAACTTACATGAAGACACGGGGCAACAGGGACAGCCCGGAGGGCAGGACCTCGTACTGATATGTTCGTCCTTTCGGACGCGAACCACAGCAATGGTCTGTGGTGCGGAAGGGTCGACACATGAAGTACGCATCCTTCAGGTCGATCGCTGCAAACCAATCTCGGGGACGGATGCACCCAAAGATGCGTTCCTGTGTCAACATCTTGGAACGGTAACCGGTGAAGGGACCAGTTCAAGACACGCAGGTCCAAGATTGGCCGTAACCCACCGCCTTTCTTGGGTACAATGAAGTAGGGGCTGTAAAACCCCGTCTTCATATCGGCTGGAGGAACCGGCTCTATCGCATCCTTCGCCAGCAGGACTGCGATCTCTGCACGCAAGACAGGGGCATCTGCTGCTTTCACTGAAGTAAAGTGGAAGCCCCTGAAATTGGGAGGGTACCGGGCGAACTGAATCGCATAGCCGAGCCTGACGGTTCGAAGCCAGGCTCCCAGACGCCGTGTAAGAGGCACCAACGGAACTACAGGCGTACCCGCAGTGGGGCAGCGAGGAAGAACGCAGGGACCCGGCCCCTCAGTCTGCTATTGGGCAGCAGAGAACTGCTGGGCAAAGTTCTCCACCGTGTCGCCGAAAAGGCCGGTCTGGGAAACGGGGCGTTCAAGATGTGTGTCTTGTCCGTCTCGCACATGTTGGCCAGACACAGCCAGAGATGGCGCACCTGGACCACCATAGTGGACATTGCACGACCCAAAGACCGCGCCATATCCTTCGTCGCTCGTAACGCGAGGTCCATCGCGGTGCGGAGTTCTTTGAGAACTTCCGGGTCATGACCACCCTCGTGCAAGTCCCTCAGTGCCTTGGCCTGGTGCACTTGCAACAACGCCGTAGCGTGTAAGGTGGAGGCAGCTTCTCCACAGGCAATATAAGTATCGCTGGCCAGTCGAGCACCTACAGACCCGGGAGGGGAGGCATGGTTCGCCCTGCCGGGTGGAGGCAGTATTATGATGCTCTAATGTAATTTCGTTGTTCTACAGCAATAACAATAAATTATTATTATTATTATTATTAAAGCATAGCCATTATTTCCGGATCCTATTCAGGCATTGCTACAATCCTGGAGGACAGCAGCACAGCCGAATCTTCCTCTCCAGAAAGCTCCGGCTTGCCCGATGCAGCAATCGACATCTGGTCGTCGGGAGGAGCGCCAAGGGATACTGCTGGTACGGTCCTTGTAGAGGGCCCAGCACGTTCCATTGGCAGCTCAACTGGTTGCGGAGTGCAAGAGGAGTGATGGTCCCCCAAGGGTTGGTTCCCTGAAGGGTTTGCCATCCCTGTTACCCTCAGACCGAAGTAGCCCCCGCCTGACTGCTGCCATGACGAGAACTAGATCGAGGCAGAGGCAATGGAACTCCGCTCCTTTGAGGAAACGGAGCTTGGCCCGCGACTCCGAGATGATCATCTTCCCGCAATGAGAACATGACTCATCCACAAATGCCACCTCAGCGTGCTAGATGCCCAGTCACGTGACCATCACCCAGCGTCAGGTAACGACCGCATCCAGAAATGCCCGGGTGATACATTGTCTATAGCAAGACCCACATTGTCTTTACAAAGATGTAACGTCAAGTTTGCCACACAACATCGTCTTTAAAAAGACGCACACGTAATTAATCTTTTAGGGAAAAAGCTCTTTTAGGGTGCTGAGGCGCACAGGGGAGATAGCTGCCTGCAACTTAAACAGGGGGTAGTGCAGCCTGATGTGTGCAACCCACTCGACACGGGAAACCACCAGCACGTTTTAGCTTTTATTTATTTTTTCCCCTGCATGCCATGCAGGCTCTGTACATTGGCAACTGACTGAAATAAATACATTTAAATAGAAGTAATAAAAAGAATAAAACTTAAATAAAAATAAATTGAGCTAAATAGAAATATTATAAAAAGAGAAAATGACAAGCACATACTTAAACTAAAATTCAATTGAAAACTGAAAATAAAAGCTAATTTAAACTAATAAGAGTAAAATAGTATATACCATAACACTGGAGAGTTGAATTCTTACTTGTTTGTGAGATTTGTTGCCTTGACCTGCACATATATGCGAGTTTTCAACTGCAGCCCAGATCCTGGTATCTGGAGTTTGGTTGTATAGTCGGCAGTCTAAAAATCATTCAAAAAAAGAGAGGATGTCAATAAACTTGTATTCACTGATTAATTAAGTGTTATTTAATGAAAAGATCCTTACACTGTAAAGACCCATGCTTAGAGTACTGACGAAGGTGCCATTGTTGTCCTTTACTGCTAGACTCACTCCTGACCTGCTGGCACAAAAAGACACTTCGTCACGCAAGTTTGAGTGCAGAAACCTCAACCGAGAAACAGATTCTTGGCATTTATACTCACACGCTGAGCTCAGTGTTGTTCACTAAATACTGCAGTGGATACAGACACGAAAACTGGTACATCAGTTGTTGCCTGTAATTGATAGTGCTGGTGCTGGGATCCCAAGAATTGATTAATCCAGAGACATTAACGAACTGGATTTGGGAGAAGTTGGAGAATACCCCTGATCCCACTTGACTTGTAATCTAACCAACAAACATGTCACACACATTATGGAAATCTGTAGGATGAAAAATTTAAAAGTTGATTGCTTTAAAGTGAAAAGCTCTTACATTCATATTGTTGCCACAGAGGGTGAGCACCTCCTGAGAGATTGAGAAGTTGAACAGCAAGACGGGAGGATTGACAGTCCAGTCCGATACTCCATGGCAGGCTGGGGCGTTAAACTTAGAATTGAGCGCCATTGATTCGTTGTATCCCCCAAAATACATTGGACAAATTAAAACTTTTAAAAAAATATGACTGATTCCACACACCACTGTTATGTCGGCGTTTTCTGAAAGACATATGAATATTCTGCTACTCAAGCTGCTCCTGCATTAATTTGAATCATATGAATGCATAATTCTAATCAGTTTTTTTTCTTTTGTTTTCTAGTAGAAATGTCAAAATATCCTTTAAACAAGATACATGTATTTGAGAACCCAAACTAAGATCATTTTAATTTTGTTTAAAAAGTTAAAGAAAATATCATTCTTTTCGCCAGTGTTGTAAGAACCAGGGCCGTGCACAGACATTTTGAGGGGCAGTGGCCCAAACCAAAAAAGGGACATTAACGAACTGGATTTGGGAGAAGTTGGAGAATACCCCTGATCCCACTTGACTTGTAATCTAACCAACAAACATGTCACACACATTATGGAAATCTGTAGGATGAAAAATGTCAAAGTTGATTGCTTTAAAGTGAAAAGCTCTTACATTCATATTGTTGCCACAGAGGGTGAGCACCTCCTGAGAGATTGAGAAGTTGAACAGCAAGACGGGAGGATTGACAGTCCAGTCCGATACTCCATGGCAGGCTGGGGCGTTGAACTTAGAATTGAGCGCTATTAATGATTCGTGGTATCCCCCGAAATACATTGGACAAATTAAAACTTTTAAAAAAATATGACTGATTCCACACACCACTGTTATGTCGGCGTTTTCTGAAAGACATATGAATATTCTGCTACTCAAGCTGCTCCTGCATTAATTTGAATCATATGAATGCATAATTCTAATCAGTTTTTTTTCTTTTGTTTTCTAGTAGAAATGTCAAAATATCCTTTAAACAAGATACATGTATTTGAGAACCCAAACTAAGATCATTTTAATTTTGTTTAAAAAGTTAAAGAAAATATCATTCTTTTCGCCAGTGTTGTAAGAACCAGGGCCGTGCACAGACATTTTGAGGGGCAGTGGCCCAAACCAAAAAAGGGGCACTAGGGGGGTGGGTGCTTGTTAATACAAATTATCCAGTTGTAACAAATATACAATTAAAAGAGAAAACAGCACACTCTGTAATAATTTCAGACTTTATTGTAGATTTTTTTATAAGAATGGGCACTCCCTCACACTCTGAGCCTGCTTCTGCCTCATCTTCAACGGAAGTAGGGGAGAGTGGGGTAAGTTGAGCCAGTGGGTAAGTGGAGCCACCCCTGCAGCACTTTAACTTATCTTGAGGACCACATAAGTAAAAGATGGCCAATCTTACCGCACTCTCCCCTATAAGTATTAGACATTTAATTTAATATTTCACAGCATAAATCTATATTATATACTAATAAACAACTAATTTAGAACATTTATATTATTTTTTAACCATTTATAGGCCTACTATTAATATGGTTTTAATAAAATATGATGTGTTATAGATTAGTAGTATCAAGACAAGTGATTATAATGGGAAATATACTTAATTACAAGAATTAAAGTGTGACAAACTGCTAAATATTCTATATGAGGATTTAACTGCTGGCTTGCTGGAGCTTTGAATTCGTGTTTGCAATGTTGAACTGCCTTTAGCAGCCTCCCTTCGCTCTTTGTCTCTGTCTCTGTCTTCTTTTTTACGAAGGCATTTTTTTTTGTCTACAAAGTGTGCCAACAACAGCGAATTTTGTGTTATTTATATTAGATCTGATCGGGTACAATAATTTGATTAGACATTCTAATTCTAAGACCGTGGATATTTTTTGTTGTTATCACTTTTAAAAGACCGAGAGCAAATCATTACCGACAGAAATACAGAAGCAAACGACCAAATTACTAATTCAGCGAATCATCCACTGACTTTTATGTGGATTGTAATGCATCCACGGTCTACCTGTTAATGCAACACATTGCTTGGGAACTGTGGTCTTCACTCCAGAGAGCAGCACACAGATCGTGAGTGATGCTGCGGAGCAGGCGGGAAAACACGGAGCGGATTAGCGGAATCAGCGGATCTTTAGCGGAGCGGGAACAGACCGCTTTGAGCTGGGGTGATGGGGGGATTGGTGAGAGGGGCAACTCAGCCGATGAGGGCAAAGGGGCAGTGGCTCTAGCCACCGGGCCGCCCCCCTGTGCACGGCTCTGGTAAGAACATAATATGAATCCAAAAGTTACAAATAACAAAATGTGTTGTCCACACTCTTAAAAATAAAGGTGCTTCATGATGCCATAGAATAACCTTTTTGTCTAAATGGCTCCATAAAGAACCTTTAACATCTGAAGAACCTTTCTGTTTCACAAAAGAAGGTTCTGTTTCGCGAAAGAAGGTTCTTTAGATTATAAAAGGTAAGAAAGAGATGCTCAGGGTCACATCACCGTCCATTTCATTAGGGCTGCAACAACTAATCGATAAAATCGATTATTATCGATTATGAAAATCATCGACAACGATTCTCATTATCGATTAATCGGGTCTGCCCACACTGCACGTCCAACGGAGTTTACATACTTGTCCAACTTCAGCCGGTCGCGTCAAATTAAAGCACTGAATTTACTTATTTCTATGGACAAAATGCATCTAAAATAGTGGCGGAAACAGAATGAGATGCTGCAAGCATTAGCATAATGGCTTGCCCTGTCAGGTGCTTTGACAGATGCGTGTGCGTCCTCAGCGCAAAAACACTTTCAGTTAACAGTCATATCCTTATGTATAAAGGTCACAAATTCACGCGAGCATTTTCATTTTTGCATAAAGGTCCGTCCTGACAGTCTGTGTTCAATTTTAATCTTTACTGAATGAGTGGCGCGTGCATGCGCGTCAGACAGCCGGAAAACAGACAATTAATAATCAGCGCAAAAACATTCATTGTGCTGAAATATCTGTTGTTGGAAGTTAAATAAAGGTTTAAAGGTCAACATGCATTGCGCATATTTTATGAGTTCATATTGTTGCCACAGAGGGTGAGCACCTCCTGAGAGATTGAGAAGTTGAACAGCAAGACGGGAGGATTGACAGTCCAGTCCGATACTCCATGGCAGGCTGGGGCGTTGAACTTAGAATTGAGCGCTATTAATGATTCGTGGTATCCCCCGAAATACATTGGACAAATTAAAACTTTTAAAAAAATATGACTGATTCCACACACCACTGTTATGTCGGCGTTTTCTGAAAGACATATGAATATTCTGCTACTCAAGCTGCTCCTGCATTAATTTGAATCATATGAATGCATAATTCTAATCAGTTTTTTTTCTTTTGTTTTCTAGTAGAAATGTCAAAATATCCTTTAAACAAGATACATGTATTTGAGAACCCAAACTAAGCTCATTTTAATTTTGTTTAAAAAGTTTAAGAAAAGATCATAAATTTTTCTAAAATGAGAATTTCTCCCATTATTTTTCTTTATAATTCACTGGCTGACCTTTTAAGACTTTATTTAATCTTTTTGCCAGTGTTGTAAGAACATAATATAAATCCAAAAGTTACAAATAACAAAATGTGTTGTCCACACTCTTAAAAATAAAGGTGCTTCATGATGCCATAGAATAACCTTTTTGTCTAAATGGTTCCATAAAGAACCTTTAACATCTGAAGAACCTTTCTGTTTCACAAAAGAAGGTTCCGTTTCACGAAAGAAGGTTCTTCAGATTATAAAAAGCTAAGAAAGAGATGTTCTTTGTGGAACCAAAAATGGTTCTTCTAATCTATGGCATCGCTGTGAAGAACCTTTTAAGCACATTTATAGTTAAGAGTGTAATACATCTTTATATCTTCTACAGTTTTGCTTCTCAAGTAAATGTATCATTTTTTCACAATGTTTAGATCTTATTTCCTGGAAAATGAGACAAATCTGATTAAGAAAATAGTGTAAGCACTAACCTGCCGGTCTGTACGTGGGGTGAGTGAGGCATGTCTGGAGACCCTGACCTTCACACAGTAGAAGAAAGCCAGAAAGACACAACAGCTGAACTATTCTGATCATCCTGAGGCAAACTAAAAAAGACTAAGCATTAGAAAATACAAACCAATGAAGCAAACACTTCTTTCAGACTTTTTTCATCTAATATGAATATATTTTAAGACAAAAACTAGTCTGTTTTTTTAAATAATAAAAATGTTATATCAGATTATTTTAGAGAGTAAAAGAAACGTTACCTTTTGGATCTATAAACTCCTGATGAGTAACTTCTTCCTTTCTTGCAGATTCTTCCAGATTGGGTATTTATAGAGATGAGAAGGGTGTGAGAGAAAACATGACAAAAGACAGAGCAACACGAGACTCTCCAGCGATCTCCACACTGATATCTATTCAGATCTGGTAACTGAGTTTACAAAACAATTTTTGTCATCAATATTGTTGATTGAACAGATAGTTGCTAGAACCACAATTGAAACTGGTGCATGGAAATAAAAGTATGTCAGGCCTCTTTCCTCATTAAGGTCTTAAGATTTCAATTCATCCTATTCAATCGGGCCAAGCAAATGCAACAGTTCAATAATAGAAATGTACAATACCATTGTAGGGTTATGTATTTGGACAATAATGGAATGTATAATTTTTAATCATTTATTTCAGTTTTAATGTTTGATGAAGTAGAATTCTTATTCATTATAAAATAATTAATCACAATTTAGGTATATATAATTATTTGCTGCACAGTTCACCCAAAAAGCTGTATGACTTTCTTTATTCTGTGGAACTTAAAATAAATTATTTTGAGAAATGTGTGAGACATGTTTTTTTTTTGTCTACACAATGGAACTGATTTATTAGCAACATGTTTTAAAATATCTTCTTTTGTGTTCCCACAGAAAAAATACAGGTTTGGAACGACAGGAAAGAGTAAATAATGACAAAAAAATTTAATAAAACTGTCCCTTTAACAAATTAAATAAGGGTATAAGATGAATTTGATATAAAAAGAGATTTTAATACAAAGAAACATAAGAGATTTGATATAAGAGACAGTATTTTCAAATGTATTGCATGAATAGCATATATGTATATGCAACTGTCCTCACTATTTATTTTAATGTGTTTCCCAATATGCTTTAACAGAGGTATATAATGTTTGGCGGGTGTAGTCACTTTGTCGCCAGGTAGGGTGTTAAAAAAAGGTGTTGGTCACTTAACAAGGAGAGATATAATTTCTTTTTATGAATATTGGCACTAACACTAGTACTTACATCATAGTTAAACACTTATTTCAACAAAAAGGTACCCACTGTTCTTTTCTTAGGACAGCAACCACATACAGGACATTCCCTTGATGAAACCAAGCACCTTTTCAATACATACAAAAAAGGGAATTCCTCTTGTAAGACAGAGCCATAACTATGATTCTCAAAGAGTTTCTTCAAAATGGTCAGTAGACGTTTTTGGTATTCAACAATTAGTATAACATTACGATTTTTTAATAATTTTTTATGAATGTTTCTTAATAAATATAATGAGTATTTCAGTCATGTCGGAAAACTAACTAATAATTCATTTCCAGAATTGTTTTTCTTTTCCATAGGTTTGGTTAACCTGTGAGAATTCAGTGAATGTGATGTTTATGATGATTTCAAACTTTATTTTTTATGACAGGGTCATGACTGCACGCTTGTCTGCCCTTTAGCTTTATCCAGGTCAGGTATAAAAAGCTATTGTGAATAAAACTGTACAATGATATTCCTCTGTTTCTGATTGAACTCCCTTTTGTTGAAAATATCACATCCCAGAACACTTGAAATGATCAACCGCTTTGTTTGTCTGGATCTCAAAGGTGTGTCCAGCTTCTGCTGTGCTTTCTGTTTAAGTTCAACTCATCACACCCTCTATACAATACCTGCATCCTCTTTATCGGACATTTAGTTTCTACAGTCACGGATTGTTTTCAGTGTATGTGGACTGATTGTCTTACTAACATCATCTACACTCTTGACAACTGTGACAGCTCTCTGACTGACAGGGGTTTTCATGACTATGCCACCTTGTGGACACTTGTTGATGTGGCTGATTTACAGTGCAGCTATACTGCAGTGCCATTGTGGAGCTGTAGCCAATCAATAAGAAACATAAAAATAATAAAATACATTATAAAAAGAAAATATTAATAACCAAAGCCAAATGTGACCCTGGACCACAAAACCAGTCATAAGGGTCAATTTTTCGAAATTGAGATTTATACATCATCTGAAAGCTGAATAAATAAGCTTTCCATTGATGTATGGTTTGTTAGGATATTTGGCCGAGATACAACTATTTGAAAATCTGGAATCTGAGGGTGCAAAAAAAAATCACCATTAAAGTTGTCCAAATGAAGTTCTTAGCAATGCATATTACTAATCAAAAAGTTTTAATATATTTACTGTACGAAATTTACAAAATATATTTATGGAACATGATCTTTACTTAGTATCCTAATTATTTTTGGCAGAAAAGAAAAATCTATAATTTTGACCCATACAATGTACTTTTGACTATTGCTACAAAAAATATACCCCAGCGACTTAAGACTGGTTTTGTGCTCCAGGGTCACAAACATTCTCATTTATCAGTACAGAATAAATAAATACAAGCATCCTATAAGGGTGAATACAGGTCATGTGTGACAACAAAGTGGGACCCATTTCATTCCTGGGATTCGGTAATATTTCAGTCCCCCAGAGTTCCCAGAGTGAAGTGGTGGTTCACCAAAGTGAATTGTTAGAAGCTTTTCACAAAACTTTGGGATGCCCACTATAATGAATAATATTAATTATTGCATTTTAATATTTTTTAGCATAAAATAATGTCTTATATTTATCTTAAACCAAGCATTTTGTCATGCCCCCGAGGCACTTCACTGAGTTTGTACTTATAAAATTATTAACAAAATGTGCATTGTGTCTGTGACTTTTGGTACAATGTAAGCATTTACTTATGTTCCTTTCTTGTAAAAAATATTTTTCTAAAAAAAAAGCTAAATATTTGATAAAAAACAGACTTTAAAGTTACAGTATGTCCCTCAGTCTGAACTCAACCCCGTCACACTAACCATTCTATGCACATAATAATTTAGACTCCACTCATATGTGACATCATTCAGGTTTTTTTAATAGTGGTGCAGAAAATGGTTAGTAATATCATACTTTTTATTCATATTTTTGAGGCATGTTATAGTCAGAGAGGGTACTGTCAAGCTTAACAACTCAACCCCGTCACATAAAATTAAGATGGAAAATTATAACTTTTTCAACATTTTATTTTAATCTATAAGGATATACAACGTACTTATTTTATTGCTGCCATATATGGTCTACTCTCCTACACTATATGATGAGCAGTGGGCATTTTGTGTGAAAAACCACAACCCCGTCACAAATACATGTATTTCTCATTGTTACGGGGTTGTTAACTTGTGACAGGGTTGAGTTATTTGCTTCATTTATTAATAATTTTAATTAAAAAAATATGGTTTCAGTAAATAATACTGTATATACTCCAAAATCATGAAAACTCATATTTTTGTTTTAAATAGAATTTTTAATGTAATATGTCCATTTAAACGTTGACAAGCATCATAAATCAGAAATTGCACCCACATTTGCAGCAGAAAGACAATGTTGGCCATGCAGATATGTTGACCCACAAACAAGCGGACAATATGAGAGAGAAACAAAACCAAAAATTTAAATTTAAGGCAATGTATCCCTTCAAATGTGTTACAGTCTTCAACCCGTCACACCTTGTGTGTTAATATTTTTAGAAAAATATAGGGAAGACAGTTAAGAACAAAAGTATTTCTTGCTGATTACCATCTGGCATGTTAAGGGCTAAAACAATAAAATTGTGGTTTTAGTAAAAATTTTAAATTAAAAACAGTTTTTTTTTCCAAAAATACCCGTTGACACACAATTTGTGTATTTTTAGCTTCAGTCCTATAAAAATGTGAAAATGATGATAAATGTTACATTTGTTATCATTAAATTGTTATCAGGGGCACATGAGCAGTAGGTACCTGTTTGTTTTATAACAATTTCTGTGTAAAATCCTTTTTAAAACAATCCTATTTTGTCCGTTATTACGGGGTTGAGAAAAAAAGGTGTCTAAAGCTGAAGAAAACTGACAATAATAAAAGGTCTTTAATGCCTGAGGTGGGAAAATATTATTTTTGGAAGTTTGATATGTGCCTAATGATGTGGGGTATTTAGAAGTTGAATCACATGTAGTTGAAAAACATATTCCAAGTTGAAATGTTACCGAATCCCAGGAATGACCCATTTATCATTATACATATATATATATATATATATATCATTTTTAATTTAAAAAACGCATTAAATTCATCCGAAACTTTGAGATGACAGCATTGATTTATGATAGACAGACAGACAGACAGACAGACAGACAGATAGATAGATAGATAGATAGACAGACAGATAGACAGACAGACAGACAGACAGA